TGATCTCAGATCTGACTTTATTCCAAAGTGAGTCCCGCAGGATGGGCTGCCCCCAGGTGTCCTCTGCTGCACCCTTGAGTTCCTTCCTCACCAGCTTGCTGCACCCCAGGGTTCCCCTCGCTACACCCCTGTCTTGGAAGCAGAGCAGGCTTTGAGGGCCATGAAATAGAGCTCCCTGGAAAGACTTAGGTTCTGTTCTCAGCAATGCGTTCTCAGAACAGCAGCCTGGGGTCGGGGGAGGGGCAGGATGGTTCCAACGGGAATGTTCCTGAGGTTCAGGGTTCTCTTGCTGTTCGATTTGCTGCCCTGAGGTTTTGACTGAGAGCGCTTCTTTGTAGAGCTTTGCTTGGCTTAACCTTTCTGGAAGCAACATTGGGGATCCTTGGGGTCATGGAGAGAGGTAGGGCAGATAGTCTCACGCCCTGGTCTAACTCCTGTAACTGCTGCCCTGCCCTCAGCTTCTCTTCGAAAGCTTCATTCCCCTCCCCCCTGAACCCCAGTACCACCACTGCATACAGACAATTCTCAGATGGTACCATTTGGAATCAGGTTGGTGACAGTGGAGGCAAACTTGCCTTCCCATTTCCCCAGGTGTTGGCTGGCTGAGTATCCTTTTGTGACTGGAGACATAGCCAGGCAAAGCCCAAGCTGCCTTCTGCAGGCTAGAAGGGGCTACCCACGTGGGTCTGTGGGCATCAGGATGAGGGGAAGGGGAAGAACAAAAGCAGCCAAGATGGCTGAAGGAGTGCTCTTGACGGCGGCACAGCCAAAAGGAGATAGATAGTGGCTGGGAGAGAGCCATGACGAGACTGGAAAAACGTGGTGGCAGTGAATGGCCACAGCAGTAAAGTCTGGTCCCCGAGGTTCTCGGAATGACAACTCCAACAGGAAACCTGTGTACCCAAGGAAAACCAAGGGATGGTCCTAAAGACTCACTACTGTCTGTGTCTTTGGCTAGTCCATGGCTGGGACTGACCTTGTCAAGTAATGTGCTGGTGGGTGACTTTGCACCCCAGATGGCAGATGGGAACATGACCTTACTTAGGGGCAGCCAGGCTAGTGTTTGAGCCCAAGCACAGATATTCTGCAAGTCTCTTAGAGCAGAATAAAGTCAGGACTGACAGTGATTGGGTTATTTTGAAGCTGGTCTCCACCCACAAACTGCCCCAGGGTCCAGTAAACCCCCACATTCTCCATGTTCTTCCTGGAGAGACTTGAGCAGTTGGAATGACTTTTGTCTCTGCAGAGATTTTTTTTTCCTCTGCAGGCTTTCACATCTGAATCTGAGCTCTTCCAGCGTTCGTTTTCTGCTAAATGTCTCCGGTAAAACCAGCTTCTCCCAACTTGGTTTCCTGGTGGACATGCCCAAGGGTCTGCTAGTCGCTGGCACAGACAGGGCTTAATTTGAACTTTTTCACTGCCTCTGAGGCTCACAACCACCGTCAGCTGGGATGGGGTATGTGCTAGTGATGTTGATGAGAACTATGCTCAGAAGCTGAGGTCAGAATCTCGTAGGATGGGATTTCATCTGCTCTTCCGGAGTTTCTGGTTGGAGTTTTTTTTCATCCAATGCACCCTGATTTAGCTAGCTTGCTGATAATTCTGGGTGGGCTGAACTTTTCTAGCAACCCAAAGTTTATCAAACTCTCTGCTGAGAACTGGTAGCAATCAAAAGTTCTATCAAACCTTTGGCCTGCAGAGAACTGAGTTTGGTCCACCCCATGTCAACTGCTGAAGGCAGCATCTGGGAGACACTGAAAGTGGTGAGAGGGATGCCTTCAGCTGGGTTGATGGCACTGATGAAGCCTGCAAGAGTTTGGGGGTGACAATGGCAGAATTCCCACTTAACTCCAGGCCAACTGAAGTTCAACTTCATCTTCGTAGTTTTGTCTTTCTTCTCTGCTAATTCTGTGATTATCCGCCACCCCCCCCCCCGCACCCTCCCTCCCCCCCGCCGATACAAGTCAAGACCAAGAACTTCTGGAAAAAATTTTCTCCTGGAAATGGAAAACAGTCTATTTCTGATCCAGAGTGAGCAAATGGCAACATCCAAAACTTGACAACAATCAATAGATCTTGTCACTCTAATTATAGTCCTTGAGTTTCTAAGAATGTCTTTAATCACAAGGCAGAATCTAAGGTATGGGTATGAATCCATACCTGAGCCATCCATGGATAGTACAATGAATGGGATTAGACACAGGCTTCTGCTTCCTACTTATAGAACTCATGCAAGGTTCCAGATATTCTTGGACCATCTCCTGGGTCAATACACAATTTCCCCTTAGGCTGGTGAAGCTGGGAAAGTCACCTCTATCTTTCTCTTTCCCGTCCTTTTGGAATTCTTATATGCGAATATTCTTTTGATATTGTCCAATATCTCTTCTCTTATATGCGAATATTCTTTTGATATTGTTTGATATCTCTTCTCTGTTTTAAAGGACTATACTGATGTACTGCACTTTGCCTTTGAGGTCACTGATTTGGTTTTTGCCTTCCATGGCTATGGAACCCTACAGTACAAGTTCTTTGATTTCTCTTTGAGTTCACTTGCTCCATCCACTGTTGAGCTGGAGTCGGATGATTCCTCAGTTCACTAGCAAGTAGATGGTTGCTCTCAAGTTGTGTCTTTGGTAGTTTAGGAATTTCTGAACCCAGTGGGGATTGCTAAAGCTTCTGTTCCCTTCTGTTGATGCAACTCCTTAGACTCATGGTTCTAGGTGCTTCGTGGGGAGTTAATTCTAGCTTGTCTGAGTCCCAATATGGGACTCCCATTAATATCAGGCTGATGTCTGTGACTCTGACTTCTGGCCACCAGGGAGATGAGGATTTCTTGAATGCTTGCAAGATGGACAGAAGCGTGGTCCTGGGTTATGTTTGAATGACCATAGGGGATCCGAGGCACTCAGAATCCACGAACTGCTGAGGCTGTTCTGCGGCCAGCAGGAGCTGTCGGTGGTGTGATTCGGACATGCAGTGACACTTGAAGCTGTTCTCGTCCCGGCACTGCTTCTGGCACATCTGGCAGTACCAGCGCAGCTTCTGAAGCCCCTTGGATTTCATCCTGTTGGCGATGGCCTTCGGGGTCAGCGAGTCCGGCTTGCCCATCGCGACGCCACTCCGGGGAGCACCCGCACCTGCACAGCTGGAAGTAGAACTGGCTGATGGGGCTGCGGGTGCCGCTTATATCAGCGGCAAGCCGCAAGGGGTGGAGCCCCCACCCCTCCCACTCTCGCGAGACTTTCCTGTGCGAGCCGGGCCAGGCATGCTTCTGCGCCTGCGCACTGCATCCCGCACGGCCCGTGGTCATTGAAACTGGCCCTTTCAAAGGACAGAGTTGAAGGAATTCAGTATGAAGACATTTCTAAGACAACTGTTCAAGCGCCGGTTTCTCCAACTGGCCCATGAGGCAGATAGAAGGTGGAAATGCTACCAAGCCTTCTGTGTCTGTAACTGGCGTTCTTAGCCCAGAACCAGCTTCTGATCTCTGCTCATTTTGTCCGCTGCCGTCCTCCCTGCCACCCGGTCAGAGAGAAGCTCCCACTGGGTCCACGTTGCTGACTGTCCAATCTCCCTCACCGATGGTCCTTTTCCCGGGCCCATGCGGGAAACCAGTTTCCATTCTCCCTGGGTGTCTTTATGCTGAGGGCTGCAGGGGTCTTCACAGAACTCTAGCCATCTCGGTCCTGACTTCTAAGGCTTCAAATGCTTCAGAAAGTTATGAGAAACACTGGTGAAAGCCAGATGGAAGTTCAAGAGGTAGCCCAGTGGTTAGGGCCCAGCTCTGTGCCCAGCACCAGGGAGTTTCAGAGCCTCGCCAGGTGCAGCCCTGGCAGCTCGAGTGGCCATGGGTGGTCATGAACCCCGGCAATGAGCCGCTGTCCCAACTGGTCAAGTAATTCTGGGGTATCCCCCAGGCTTTGGGAGTGCCCCCCTTTGTTTAATCGAGATGTGTTTTCCAGCTTAGTGTTCCTATTAGTATAAAGCCAAAAGAGGGGGTTCCTACAATAACTCCTTGCAAACAGCTGACCAGGTTTGCTCTTTCCTGAGCCATGAAGTGAAGTTCTGGGGCTCGTTTACTCAGTAACTCTCACCTGTGCTTCCTCAGGGCACAGCAGTGAGAAACTGGGAGCCTGGCACCTTTTATTTTTATTTATTTATTTTTGGTATTTCTATGTATTTTTGGGATAAAATAAAATTTGTAAACAAACACCAGCTTGTCAAATGTAGGGAGGCCTTTGCCTTAATGTAGCATTACATTGACATTCACAAAACATTCTCACGAAAATCAGTATGCAGCTCTTTCACACACACAATTATACACATACACACACAAACAATATGTATAAGTAATAATTTTTCTACCTATACATATTCCTCTGGTGGGAAACGAGAAAACCAGGTCAAAGCTTCGGTATATTCAGCAGCCTGTTTAGGTGATAACCAAGGCCTAGTAAAATTCTCTGTTCAGGGGTTTGTCCCTCCCCCAACCCCCGCCCTGCCCTAAACAAAAGCATAAACAAAACCACCTGGTCCACAAAGCCTAACTCTATAAATAAAAGCACTGTCCAAAGGATAACAACAAGTCACATTTCCCCTCTAACCAAGAAGTTTAAAAGTCTCCCAGGCAGCCAGTCCTTAAAGCACCACCAAAAGCCACACTATTTCTACACAACACGATACACTGTGTTGGTGAGACTGCCCTGAAAACATGCCTGCAAGCATGTGATTGTTGTGCCACAGAGAAAAGTCCACCCAAGTCCATTTATTTTTCTTTTCTTAAATTTTTATTAGTGAAACACCATGAGGTACAGTTGTAGACTTACAAACAAATTTTTGTGCTTGGGTTCCACACCGTAACATAAGCTGGTTAGGAGGAACAGAGGGAAGGCTTAAGGCAATGAGAGGCATCCCAGAGAGCACCCCACCACGGTCCTCCAGTCAACCCCACAGCCTTCAAAGGAGAGGTCTCTGAGTTTGGGTTGTGCTTTTTTAGTTTGCTAGCTGTCAGATACTCCCTCCTCCTCTTCGTCTTCTCTCCTGCCGACTTCAGAGGTGTGGGAGAACTCGTGCAGCAGAACATACTCTCTGCTGCTGAAGCCAAACTTGAGTACATCCTTCTCCTTCAGTTCGTAGTACCTGTGGGGCTCGATGCGCTGGTTGTTCAGGAATGTCCCGTTGCCCGAGGCGAGGTCAATGATGTAGGGCTTCACCCTGCGGCCCACTGTGCCGTCCGCGCGAGGACACTCCGCAAGTCTGTACTGAAAGACGGCGTGCTGCTTCGAGCAAGAGGGATGGTCGATGGGGATGTCGGCGACTCGGCGGTGGCGGCCCAGGAGGTAGGCGCTTTGCCTGTGGACGTGCATGACCGGAAGCGCCTCCTCGCTCTTGAAGGGGTAGAGGCGCCAGCGCTGCTTGGGGACCCGCGCTTCTGGGGGCTCGCTGTACCTCACCACGACTCCCCGGAAAGCGTTGGCGTCCTCGAGAAGGGCGCCGGAAAGCTCCAAGCTCGGCCTTTCTCGGAGGGGCTCTTCTCCGGCTCTGCGGTGGCCTCCAGGTCGAGGGTCCGACTCGCGAGACCCGCTGCCCGCAGCCCCGGCTTCCTGCTGCCGGCGGTGCTCCCTGCGGCGAGCACCTGGAGGCTCCGGCTCGGCTGCCCCGGCCCGTCCCCGCGCCTGCCCGCGGGGGCCGGCTCGGTCCCGGGTCCGAGCCCGCCGGGGTGCGTGTCCGGACGGCTGGTCGCGGCGCTACCGAGCCGCACGCTCGCGCTTTCCTCTTCCCGCGGGGTGGCCGGGTCCTCCCTGGCTCGGCGGAGACTCGCCCCCGCGCCCTGCAGGCTTGTTTCTCTTCCGGGCCGGGGACCGGCTCCCGCGGAGCCCGGCCTCGAGCTTCCCCTGCTCCTCCATTCCATCCCGTCCCGGTCCCGGCCCTGGCCCCGGTCCCGGTCCCGCTCGCTCTCGGCCTCCTGCCTGCTGAGGGCTCCGTGGCGCATCTGAGGAGAGCGAGGGCCCTTTCGCTCCTCCCACCCAAGGGAAGGCCGGGGGCGGGCCCTGACTTCCGCTTCCGGGGTCAAGGCCTTTCAGCTGCTCCAGCTGGAGATGCGCGTTCTTGAGCCTGGAAATTCTGATGTGCCTGAGTACGGAATGCCCCTCAGTGCTCCTCACGGGGCTCCTTCATGGCACCTGTGGGCTCATCGGAGCTCCTGAACCTTTGGGGCTGGCAGGACTCGCCGGCCAGGTTGGAATGCTGCAGAGGCAGTGGTTTAGCTCTCCCTGCTAGGCCGCCTGGCTTCTGCCCCGCGAGGTCTTCCTCTCCTGCGAGACTAGCTCATCAGGAAACTCTTGAGCTTGAAATGTTCTTCCATCTTGCGCCTGGCCCTGTGCAGAGCTTCCCAATCCTTTGGCGGTCCGAGTATCCCCAATAAGACTCCCCTGCTCCCAGACCAACAGTCAACAGCCCGGGAGGGTCACCCTGATTGCACTACTAGTCATCAGCAGGGCCCCCTTAGCCAAAGAAGAATCCATCAGGGTACAAAACCTGTGCCAACCAGAGCAGGACCAGCACCGATGACTCCTAAGCCGGCAGCTGAGCCCATGAAACAGGGGCGCTCCGTGAGTCCAGACAGGGATCAGAGGACGTCCTGTTGGCGGCCCTGAGGGCCGCTAAGCTCAGTGCTGCCTTGGCCAGTGACAGCACGATAGCACGGCAGGAGTAGATGACCTCCCGGGGTGCCACGTGTGACTACACCCCCTTTAAAGGTCCCTGAACCCCTCCATGCCATAGTCACACGAGCCTGCAGAAATGCCCGCTTGCTACTTCCTCCAGGGAGCTGCCAATATGCCCTGGAAGAGCCTCCGCAGGTCCTTCTACCCTCCCCAGTGGCCCTGGGAATCAGAACTGAACAGAGCCAACACTTGCTTCTCTAGGGGCAGAGGTCCCAGGCCAGCCAGGGGTGGTGTCAGGTTCGGGGGATGTTAGGTCAGGGTGGGAGTGAGAGGCTGTCCGAGGTCCCCGCCCTGGAGCAGGGCCCATCGTGTGCGGCAGTTCCCATGCTGGCCACCTGCCAGTATCGTTTTATTGCCTTAATCCCACCCTGTCGGGCCAGGGCCAGGCCACGATTATATATTTCAGTAATGAGGTGTGACAGCAGGGGGCCTGCCCGGGTGCTCGGAGCACACCTACGGGTGTGAGGAGGTCTGAAAGGTGAAGGTCCTAATCCTTGTGGGGGTGGGAGTGCAGTGGAAGGGCTACGTGGAGATGGCATGTGAACTCTCGACTGTAACCCTGAGCACTGCCAGGAGCCAGCTGAGAACCCCCGTGAGGCTCAGGAAAAAGCTGCTCATCAAAGCCTGAGAACAGAAGACTCTCAAGCCCCAAGGGAGCAGTGGTTTTGGGGTTGGGGCCCCTGGCTGGTGTCAGACCCCCAGTACTTGAGTGTAGGAAGTACTGAAGCTCAAATCCCCATGGTCTTAGATGCGGATTAGGTATGATTTAACCTGTCACAATAAAATAATACACCCAGTAAAGCTTCAGCTGCATCGAGCCTCTTAGATGCAGCAGAAAACCCTCCGTGCACAGAAGAACCCCCCTCTATACGGAGCAAACTCCCTTGCCCCCCAGTCCGCGCTCCCAGCGTATGGCCCAGGCTTACTGTCCTTGAGCAACCATCCTATGGCATGCAGGGCAGGTGCCCATTGTCCAAGTGTTCTTCTGTTCCGACTTTTCACAGGGGACTGCAGAAGGAGGTTCACCAAGGCCACAATGTTTAAACACAGGGCTCGCTTTGACCCTTCTGTGGGCACCAAAGGGCAGAAGACTCTGTAGCCTTTGGGGTGTGGATGAGAAAAACCTGGGAACGGATATTCCTGGTGACCTGGAGCCTCTGGAAGCAGAGAGGCTAAGGGAGACCCCGGCTCTGTCCCAATCTCTAATGCTTCACGCTAGGCTGAGGAAGACCCTGAAGCCTGATAAAGCACAAGGCCTAAATTGGGACCAGCAGGGTAGTTTCCCAGGGTTAGCTCACCCGTGGCTCCACCAGCCACAGCAAGGCAACTCCCCGGCAACCTGGAGCTGCTGGGCCTGGTCAGCGGCCAGTGAGATGGTCGGACTGCAGGCAGCAGTGGCCAGCTTTGGGCAAACTATCCCTTTGGCCGCATCTCCTGAGTTACCAGCTAACCTGACTCAGGCCTTTTTTTCTACCCGTTGAGTGTCTTGAAGGTGCTGAGCCAGGTCTTTTTGGATCACTGGTTTTGAAGGCGGATCAGACTTGCTAGAGATTTGTAAGCGATGCCTCAGAATTGTGGGGGAACATGCTTGAGGAACTTCAGACCTTAGGTGCAAGCCTGACTTTTCATTGTGAATGGGGCAGGGAGGAGGCAAGGGGGCTAAAGTCACCCATGTATCCACACTGGCGGTACTTGAGGTAGAAAAAGTGGGTCCCTTTTTCTGTCCTGCTGAGACCCTGAACTGGTCTGGGAACCATGTCACATCCGTATGGCCACAGTCCTAGAACTTTAATGAGAACTTTTGGTGATATCCAGAGGCTCCTGCTCTGGAAGGTGCTAGCAAGTCCCACCTGGCCTATAACCACGGGTTCCTCTATCCCTCGGGCCTTGCACAACACTGAGGAGCAAAAACGAAAGTTCAAGAACTCCTGTTTGAGGTCATCGGCCATCACTACCAGGTCTTCCCCACCAGAGAGGAACCTGAGTTTCTAACCATGAATAAATGCCCCATGACATGTCAGCTGTCCTCACAACTGGCACGGGACACCCCGGGCAGCCTCCCTGTAAACCAGGAAACCAGTTGTCCAAGGTGGAGCTTCAAAATGCCCCGGGGAGAGCCCTTAATCTTGTCCCTCTGCAGCCTGATGGTGTGAGGGTTGGGGAGACTGTTGTCTGTGTGACTACAGGCGAGTGTAGCGGGGTCCAGCTGTATGGGGTGGGGGGTGCCCCAAAGGTCCCTGTGCTTGATAGAAGCTGGCTCCAAACTCTTGTTCGAACAAGGGTCCTGCATTTGCACTGGGACGCGTGCACTTTCTTGACACTAGTGTCCCTCGCCTTACTGGCTGCAGTAGGATGAGGGGAATGGGGAAGTGTGAGGCACTGCGCCCCCATAAAAGCTGAAGCTCTGGTGGGAGTGATCACAGGAAGAGAGGGTGAACTCCCAAACCTGGAGGAAGGAATCGGTAGCGACAGACCTCAGGATTGTCCTGGCTTCTGCGCCTCTTCCCAAATCCTCCAACCTGCTCAAGAGAGACCAGGAGTTTGGGGGTCAGCCAGAGTGGGGAGCCTCTATCTCTTGGGGGAGGAGAGCTGTCAGCCACTGTGACAACTCTGATCCACTTAAGAAGTGTTAAGAGCTCAGTGTCTGCAAAACCCAAGATTTTACATCCCAGGGCCCAAGAGGAAGCATCACTGGAGTCAGTCCCGGTGTTAAACCAAAAGTATTACTGGTTCTTGGAGTAAGAAAGAGAGGGACCAGCCACAACCATGCTGAGATCACTCTCCACACTCATGAAGGAACCGGCAGAGGAACACAGGCATACAGGTCCCGGGGCTGAGATCTCCAAGCCTGCTCGGATCGGGGCTGAGCATCCTCCACCCAGATCCTCCATCTTCCAGTAGGCAGGGGTCACACCCACCAACTGCCCCTGGCGCCAGGTAATCCATCAACGTCCAAGGCTCAGAGACTATAAAATCCAGCTCCCAGAAGCACGCAGCCACATTTGCGGCCCCACAACATCTTATTATCTCGTTCTTACTTTGGACAATCTGGCAGGCTACCAAATGTAACCTGCCCACACGGCAGAGTCTGGCAAACTCACTGTGGAGTACCCAATATGCCAAATACCAGTAATAATGATGGGTCTCATTCTCCTAACCCTGAAAGAGCCTTGAATATGGCACTTTTTAAAATCTCAGGGCTAGGACGAAGGAGACGTTACTGGTGCCTGCTCGAGGCAATCGACGAATAACAGTATGATCGTGATTGTGATTACTGGTTCTCAGAGTAAGGAAGAGAGGGACCACTCCTGTGATGCAAAAACAAGGAATTTCATTGCTAGCTCGAGCTAGGTTCCAAGTCCACACCGACACAGCAGCTTCCAAGACCAAGGACACAACGCTAGTTTCAGAGGGTATCCTATGATTACCTAACTACTCATTCTTTGCGGTTAATAAAAGACAATTTCTGGCACCAGTCATTGCTGATATGGCACATGGTGGTTGATTGAGCCCACCTGCTGGGCCCAGGTTGGCTAGTTAAGCATTTGGGGAAATGGAAACGGTTTCAGTTCCAGGAACTGAAACCAAGGGGTGGATGGATTTTCTCATTTCTGCTGCCTATCAGGGCATTGCCATTGTTCATGGTGTAGCTCATCCTTTCATGCCCCTCTTTTTCTTGTGCCTTCAAGAATAATCTTACTCTTGCATGTTTAACTGTTCTCTAGACTGTGGATTTCTGGCCAATCCAGTATATTGCTGCCTTAAGACCATAAACTGTTAAAAAAAAAAAAACCCATAAGCTGTGCTGTACTTATTCTGCCATTAACAAAAACCACTAGCTTGTTCGGGATGCAGGGGCCCACGGTCAGGAGCAAAATATGGCTTGTTCTTTTGCATAAACACAGCAATATTGAAGAACTCTCCATTTGGGGTACCCCATTATTTACTGAGAAGTTCTGGGGATTGGCTAAGGACAGGAGACACACCAATAGTGGCATTAATTTTTTTTTTTTAATCAGGCACGTCAATTACCCAGGTCTGGCCATAAAATGTGAAGCTCTGGTTTCACGATGAGCTGGAGGTGGCCTCAAGCCTTCAGATTGGAACTGAATGTGGCCTCAGGCCTCTTGCCTTCTGTAGGAGTGTCCTGGCAGAAAGGAGTCCATCCTGTCCCTTCTTAGTGGCGGGGAGAGATCCTGGTTTCCAGATTTCTTTTTTTTTTTCCCAGAGGATTTCCCATCCTTCCTTGAGCTGGCTTGCCTCTAGG